CACGCCATTCATTACAGCAGCTCAGACCAGGGCTCTGTATATGTTTAAGAAGTCTGCTTGTGTGTCTATGTGACATTTCTGGAACTGTGAGTGATGAAGTACTGTATGAATATGTGTTTCTGTCACTGATGGTGTGCGTATATGGAGAGTGTATGGGATGTGTTATGACAGCAGATGTGTTTGGCATAAGCTCAGTGCTTTGTGATGGAGGTCTGTGATCCTGGGGGGTCTGAGCTCAGGGCTAGAGGTGTACATACACAATGCCAGATTTTATGTCCTCCTCTGAACCCATGATTTTGTTATGTAATCTGCCTCCCGTAGAAAGTTAATCAAAGCTTAGTATGCATTCCACACTGCAGTCTTTGATCACCTTCTGTTAGGAGTTGATTTTCTCGGCATTCTCCTCTCATGCCCCTCAGGAGTGAAGAGCAAAGATTCATGGGCATCATGCACTCATCCAACATACATTTTGAGATTTGTTCCTCATTAGGAGGCCCTAAATTCAATGCAGATTTGTCTACATATTTATGCTGATTTTTAAGGGCAACTATGTAGAAATTGAACATGAAATTTAATAATTTTGAAAGAAGTCTCTTATTCTCACCAGGCTGCATTTATTCAATCTAAAATGCAGTAAAAACAGTAATATTGTGAATTATTCTTACCATTTAAAATAAGAGTTTTTTTATTGTAATATATTTTAAAATGTAATTTATTCCTGTGATGGCAAAGCTGCATTTTCAGCATAATTACTCCAGTCTTCAGTGTCCTTCAGAAATCATTCTAATATGCTGACTTGCTGCTCAAGAAACATTTCTTATTGTTATCAGTGTTGAAGATAGTTGTTCTGCTTAGTATTTGTGTGGAAACAATCAGTATTCTTTGATAGAAAGTTCAAAAGAACAGCATTTATTTGAACTAGAAATCTTTTGTAACATTATTAATGTTATTACTGTCACTTCTGTTCAATTTAATGCATCCTTGCTAAATAAAAGTACTAAATTCTTTTTTTAGAATGTGTATATTCAGACAGACATACGAAGACTATCTGTAGAATCACTGCAGCTCGATTATAAACATACTTACTGTGAGTCTTCACCCCGTCACAAATGCAGCACAAAGATTCATGGGGATCATACACTGAGCTAATATGTACTTTCTAAGTTGTTTTTTATTAAGAGGCCCGGGGAGAATCTGCAGTTTCCCCCCCCCACATTTTCTGTGCTGATTTTTGGAGAAGAAATTCGCTGGCTTGTGGGGAAAGTCAACATGAAATGTCATCGCAACCCATTTTACTTCCTTAATGTGACATATTTTAGATTAATGAAACAGATTATACAACAAGAAAAAAATGTTGGGCAGGATTTTATGCTCTGAAATTTTGATTGCTTGTGAAATGTGGTTTAAATGTGACGAGTGGGTGGAGGGGATGGGTTGAAAAATTGACACCAACCACAGTTTGAGACCAAGCATGTACATTCTTATCAAAGATTACAAAGACAGACATTTTTTTAGAAATAAAATGCACTGATGAATCATGTCCAATAAGGGCTTTTAAAAAGTAAACAGTTTCATGTTGACTTTAAACATCATAAAGTGTGTTAAATCAAAGCACTGGCAACTGAAAACATAGTCAAACTGAACTCAATTATTTATTAAATGAACATGCAAAGGGTGTGGAATATGTCGAATTTTCTGGCAATGTGCACCTGAATCTGCAGATATCAGCCGAGTTCTGCTCATTTTAGCAACGAAACTCACAGAGCTCCCCGCCACAACCCTCAGTCTGCCATTCAACAGTTGTTTTGCGTTTTTACCCCATCTCTCTCTCTCTCAGTAGATGAAGGGTCAAGTGTTTTGTTGGAGGTTTTGAGGACCTCACATTTTGTGTGTGTCCGTCTGCATGTGTGTGTACATGCTTGATCAGATCAGTGTGTGTGTAAGTATGTGAGGGGTGGAAGGGGGATTAGGTTCTTATTCAGTCTTTTGTGCAGTCAAACTCTATTCCGTTCAATTTCTTCCTCTCTGAATTGAATAGAGACAGCGGGACTGGGAAGTTTGGGGGGGATTGAGAATTCCCCTTCCCCCATTCATACTTAATCTTGACTGTTCATTGCCCTACTAACAACAGCTTTAACCAGTACAGTACTGGAAGAAACAACGTTTACATGTCCACAGTGTTCTGAAAGCAGTGCTTTGCAGATTACTAACAAATTGTTGTCCATTACTGAATACAAATTACATGATGAAGTTTACTGTCATTTTGTGAATATTCAGTAATTGTGTAATCAATAAAAAAAAAAGTAACTGTAGTCTGATTATGAGTATTTTAAAATGTAAAATATAATGTATAATGTAAAATTGCAATTTTTTTGTTACACTTTATTTTAAGGTGTCCTTGTTAAAGTGTAATTATAGATTTAAGTACTGAGTAATATTAATTAACTACATGTACTTACTATATGGTTAGGGTTAGGATTAGGGTTTGGCTTAGGGTTACTTGCATGTAATTATGCATAATTTATTGTTATTATAATAGTAAGTACATGTAATGTGTGTAACAAGGACACCTTAAAATAAAGTGTTACCTTTTTTCTAATCTGATTACGTAATCCAGATTAAATATAATCAGTTCTACCCAGCAGTGTGTGTAAGCATTGGTGCATGTGCGGTCGCTCTGGTGAGGAGAATGCAGTTGGCCGGATGTACTGTGAGATATGTGTGTGCACTGTGGCTGGGAGTATCATGTTAAGTCTCCCTAGTGAGTATATGTGGAGTGTATGTTCATATGATAACTTCCCTGGAGGGCAAGTGTCCATTAATCACTCGGATGCTCATCTGTTCCTAACGCTTCATTAGCTCTCCTTCCTCCGTCTCTCACTCTCTCTGTCTTTTTCTCTATACCCCTCTCGTTCCACATTTTCTCCTTTTCACTTCACTTGAGAGTTCCACACACGCTCAGGATCCCTGTATTTACTGTTTCTTGCACACGCAGGTTAGGAACATAACACGTCATGCTTCCTTGCTTTTGTTTGGGAATGGCCATTAAATCAGGAGTGGAGTGGTTAACGATTGAAAGAGGAGAACGAGTGAATGGGGCCTGTTGAAAGGCAAACCTTTAGACAAATGGCTGATTCTTCGAATACAGCACTTCTGTGTCCCAGGGACTGATTTGTATTAAAATGCTTTCCTTTTTTTTTGCAATAAGTAATATTGTGAAATAGGCTACTTTTACAATTTACTGTTTTCTATTTTAATGTATTTTAAATGTAATTTATTCCTGTCATGCAAAGCTGAATTTTCAGCATCATTACTCCAGTCTTCAGTGTCACAAGATCCTTGGAAATCATTCTAATATGCTGATTTGCTGTTCAGTTATTATAGATGCTTAATTATTAATAATGTTTCTTATTAGTATCAATGTTGGAAACAGTTGTGCTGCTTAAAGAAAGTATTAATAATAAAAAAAAAATCTGACCCTGTATATAAACATTATATATATATATATATATATATATAAACCTTGTCCCAGATCCAGACTTAATTATTGTCAAAACAAAGATAAAAAGACAGGATAAAATAAATAATTTTGATATGTGTGAAATTAACATGAATTATTTAGAATGTTTTTTATTCAAATTATGTGTATAATTGTCCCACAGTTTCCAACACAACAATTCTGCTCCTTGTTATGTTTTTGTCTAAAGTTAGTGTACTTTGCTATTAAGGAGACAACAGTGTCAATGAAGTAAATGCCTGAAATAAAAAGATATGTGATGTGTGAAGAAAACAAAGACAAATCAATGTAAATAATAACATCTCCAGTGATATAATAATTGTATTATTTCAAAATGTAATGTTGTAAAATGAAAACGTATGAAAGTATTACTAATTGAGTGTCTTTATGCTCAATAAAAATGTTACCATCATTCCCATCATATTTGTTAATTCATAAAAAAGTTAATAAAGAATGGAAAAAATTGCAGAATTCTCCTGTGATGCATGTATATCCACTGATGGACATAACAGACAAATTAAACTAGTGAAAATGTTAAAAGTACATTCATATAAAAGTCCACAGGACCACATTTGAAAGAAACACCCAAATGTTGTTTTTCTGTCCTTGTCCTCCTCACAAAGATTTGATTGGATCCCTGTGTTTGCTTTGCATGAAACTTTCAGTGTGATGTCATACAGCACAACAGACCCTTTGTGATGCTCTTTATGTGTGCATTTGTGGTGAGTGTGTGTGTTTACTGCACTCTTTCATATGTTAAAGCATCAACAGGGCATGTGGGCATGTGATGAGTCAGTGTTTAGAGTGAGTCATGCGTTTATGTCCCAGTATTCCTTAAGATGAACGTATATCCCATTAAAATCCACTAAACATACGAAGAGTTTGACTTGATTGGAGAGGTTTTCTAATTCAGATAGTGGTCAACTAACTCTTTACACACAGCGTTTATCTGCATGTGTGTGTGTGTATGTGTGTGTGTGTGTGTGTGTGTGTCAGTCACATTAACCCTGTAAAGCCTGACATATGAAATAATAGTCCGAAAAATAAACAGAACAGTTTATTGAACCTTTAGACAAATAAAAAAAAAAAAATCAAAAAAAAAAAATGTTTGCGTATGATATTGATATTTTGATTTGCTTATAGAGTATGATATAAGAGAATATGGAGCTAATACTAACGGAGAAAAAGGCACCTCAATTTTATTCAGGGGCCCAAACTGAGCTCAAAATGTGCAGTTTGGTGCGGTTGCTAATATTTATATGGCCAAAAAGTAGTATGAAAAACAGTATGACATGCTTACATAAAAGTTGTATAAAATAATTTTTTTCAAAAAAATTATGCATGGATAATCAAATAAACCTAAGTTGATTCAGTCCAGTAAGTGTTCATCTTGAAATATTGCTAACAATATAAAAGTTATTCTTATGTTTACTTTATAAAAATCACTAAAGATTCTACAGCAAAAAGACTTGTGCCATTACCTGAAGGGGGATGTTTTTACACTTATACTAAAAGGTCATTTACTTGCTAAAAAAGTATAAACTATCAGTCAGATGACAGAAGGCATGTAGTAGACTGTATACAACAGGTTTTGCAGCAAAGTTTTGATAATGTTGATAATTTAGAGGCCTTAGAAATTTGCTCATCAAACATGATACAGTAGGCTTTATAGGGTTAAAGCAGCTGCTGAGGGTCAGACTTCAAAACAGGACGGCAGTATTTCCATTTTCCACACACATTGTAGTGGACAGAGACGAAGAAAAGAAAAAGGGAAAAGAAAGACAAGGGAAAAGAGAGGGAGTGAGCATGAGGAGGGATTAAATGTGTGTGAGGATGGGGGTGGTGGCGGAGCAAGGGGCCATAGACAAAGTGAGAGAGGGAGGAGGGTAGCAGGAGAAGGGGGCGGTGCTGTGGCGGCAAACAGCAGGGAAAGAGAGAAGAGAACAGGACAGAGAGGAAGGGGGTTTCTGCCAGAGAAAAGAGAGGAAACTTTGGCATGAGGAGGAGGAGTAGAAAGAATGAGCGTGTGAGAGAGAAGGAAAGAGATAGAAGGAGTGTGTGTAAGACTGAGAGAGGAGTACAGTGAGCAGACTGGGATTGTACCTCCAGGACAGACTGGGGAGACGCGAGGAGGCAGCCATGCAGAGCACTATGGGTATGTCAGCAATGCAACTGTATTTATTACACCCTCATAATGCACTAGAGTTCAGATTACCACTGCAGCTCACAAGAGCTTTGAAGTGATGTGAAATGAATGATTAACTTTCTTAAAGCTGATAGCACTGGGGTGAGAAGGAGCACGTTGAAGTTTAGCAGCACTGTTAGTGCTTTCTGTTGAGGAGAGATCTGTGGGAGAACGGGTGCAGGGCACAAAGTTTTCAGGGCACATGGATTTTTATTGTTCTGTCAGAGCTCCAAAGATCTCATTCATGTTTCATTTAAGTATAAACTTTGTCTCAGATGTTTCTTCTGAAATTCCTACTCGTTGGAGAAATACAAATAGACCAAATGAAATGATTGTTGCTATACAGTAAGATATTATAAAATGATTGTGAAAGCTCAGATCATTTGATCTTGGAAGAAGTTGATGAGAAATGTTTGAGTTTATATTGAAATCTCTGACTATTACATACTTTGGTATCTTGTCAAGTCTGAGCTTAGTTTGAAACTTTGAGATCTTTTCTGGCACTCAGGAGGAGACACATGGGAGATTACTGGGAGCTTTTCCCACAGGAGAAACATCTAAGATGCATGAGGTTTAAACAAAAGTCTTCATTTGCTCTCCTTTTAATGTAATCATTGTCTAGGGGACATACTGTAAGTGTGATATCTTTTGTGGTTTTTGTTTCCTTTACTCTTAAAGATAAAGGTTCTTTATTGGCATCTATGGTTCCATAAAGATCCATGGACCCTTGCCATTCCACAAAAGGTTCTTTATGGAAAAAGGTTCTTTAGATTTTTTTAATGGATTCATTTAGGAAAGGTTCACTGAAACGTTCTTCAGGAACCAAAAATGGTTCTTCTATGACATCACTGTAAAACCCCCCTCTGGGACCTTTATTTTTAAGAGTGTGTAGGAATTTATATCTGTTGTAAAGAGTGTTTGTTGAGCAGTTTTGTAGCTGGTTTGGGTCTGGTTTGTTTGTGTGTGTGAGCAGGGCCTTGTGAATGGATTGATTTACAGGACTCAGTTAAGCTGTTTGATTTTTTTTTTTGGGAGACTATGCTTTGGAAAAGCAGTGTTATGGAAGTACACTCTTAAACATAAATGTCCTTTATTAGCATCTTTTGTTCCATGAAGAACCGTCAATGAAACCTGGCCATTGCACAAAATGTCCTTTATAGCAAAAATGGTTCTTTAGATTATTAAAATGTTCTTCACACTGAGAAAAATGGTTATTTTAAAGAACTGTTCAGTGGAAATGGTTAGTCTACGCAATTATAGTGAAAACCCCCCATTTGGAACCTTTATTTTAATAGTGTATATTTAGTATTTTCTGTGAATGTGAAGTAAAAGGTTGGCATATGAATAACTGGCCTGGATTGTAATATCCGACATCCAGCACACACACACACACACACACACTCCAATCACTCCTCGCCCAGTGCTTACACAAAGCTTCTACAAACTAGTCAAACACCACTAAGCTTCTTGCCCAGCATGCAGCCCGATCTATTGACATTTAGTTTTCGAATGGGATGAATTTTAGATTGAAGTGCCTCCAAGTATACTGAGATTCCCATTTGTGTTTAAAGTGGATGTGACTCAGCTCATGGCACATTATTATACAGTAAACGTTTGAAATAGAGCGGCCCGTAACTGAGTGTCAGCAGCGTCCAGACTCAGCTCCAGATGAGATCACCTGGGGGGGGTGGAAAGGTGCTTGCGTCAGTGAGTCGGAAAATAATAGATGAGTTAAATCACTCTCATATGTTACAGGGCTCTGAAATACAGCCTTAGTAAATGTGGTGAGCTCACTGTCTCTGTAAGGACAGTATGTGCCTGACTGACTGGCTGTGTCTGTCTGGTTTAGGTTCTCCAAAACACCTCATACCATCTCCTCACATTGCTTTACTGTTTCCATTTATGGGATGCTTTTATGTGCCAAGTATTTATGTAAGGCTGTAGCTTCCTGCAGACGTATATACAGAGGGAGAGCTCATTAACGTCGAGTCAGTCTCAGCTGACTGCACTGAATCAGAACTTTCCATGCCACTCTTTTCCTCTCCGTCTGAGCTCGGCTGGAATCTGTTGGGACCATGTCTGTACGTCCACATCCTCTTGCGGCTGGTCCGCTGTGGCGTGTTTGCAAGTTTTCATGACCAACTCCGAGGTTGTCTTTTTTTTTCTGTTTGCGGCTCCTGCGTGGTTCGCCATCTCTGCACTTTTGAGATGAATTACATATTCATGCTGGCTTAGTTTGTCTGAGGCCACGCTGGTTATGTAAACACTGGTGTGGAATTAATTTACCGGTATGTGCACTGTGACACTGTGACACTTTTCCCCCCGACTGCAGTTCATATCTGCGCTGTGATTTCAGTTTGATCATAAGACTGATGATTATGGCTTGTCAGAAAGATTATTTATTTGTCTCTTTCTGCTGATTCTTGCTTCAGAAAGCTTCGAGAGGAGGCAGAGAAGCCATTTTGAGAAGATCTATGGCCACAGCCAGTAAAGAAAGTTATCTGTGGTCTATTTAAAGAGAGACCAGAGTACCAATCATTCCTTCATGAGACAGTAGCAAAACACTTTCTGTCTCTAACATTGCTCATTTTCATTTTATGTACTTCTCTGTAAAAACAAAAATACCCCATTAAATGTATGGTAAAAAAAAAAACTGGCAGCTGTGGTTGCCAGAAATGGTAAAAAAAGGTAAATCAGTGACGTTGTTTCAGGTATTACTGTATGAGACGGCATGTTGGTGCCTGTATATTTTACAACTATTAACTGTATATTTCATTAAGTGATATAATGCTTATACCAATCTACTTGATCTACCAAAATCTGCTTTTTACATTAAAATGGGTAACCACCATAATAATACAGGTAGCACAATAGAAAGCCACATGATGAATCAGTTCATCGTAAGTGATCTGTTCATAAAACATGGGCAATACACTTGTATAGACGGTGCACACACACAAAGACAAAACACCATCTGGGTAACACACAACACCAAAATTATGTGATAAAACATTCACTGAATAACATAAAATGTAACACAAAACACCCTAATGTATACTGATATAAAAATATAAAGAAACAAAACAATATACAATACGTGTCGGAAACGAAACGCCCATTACCATAATAAATTTTTTGCTCCGGAGGGTTACTTGTAAACAAAGATGCTATAAGGTTACAAAAATGGCATCGATATTACCTTATCAATTCGAGCACGAGTCCGAGGATGATACCGATGCAGTCGCTCAACCTGAAACCCCATCGCAAGCACGACTTGATCAGGGCGTTTCTCAGTGGTAAGTTTAAACTTTGCATGTGGTACGTTATATGACAGCAGTTTTATCGAATTCATTATTATTATTTACTTATTTGAGGTGCACATGTGGGAACTGTGTTAGAATGCCCAGTGAGGCTGAAAACACAGCGTTTTCTCGACCTGATGTAAACGCACTAACTAGCGGAAGTGTTTATGGGCAGGTCAGAGTTTTCGTATTTCGCGGGCAGGCGGGGATTATGTAAATGTGTTACCTTGTGACGTATATAGGTAACAGGCAGAAGATTCTAAATATGACGGCTCGTTAAGGTGGTTCAGAGTCGACTCTTTCTTTTGAGAGGCAATATCTTTATTTATCATGCACTTTTTTTGATTAACAACGTTGCAGACTGTTTACATTGAAGGATAGCTACGTTACAAACTGCAAAAAATATATTTTTCGAAAACCCATATGACCTGCTCTTTAAATAAAACATAATCATGTGATGTCACACAGTGACCTCAGCTTTTCCATGTAAATTATACAGTAATTCATAGTTTTTCTTTCAAAAACCATAAATCTGACAGTATTTGACAGTAAAATTCCGTATAGTATGATGTTAAACCATTTACATTATTTCACCATATATGAAGTTTTTTCCTTTAAAAAAAAAAAAGTATGTTATATGTTTTGTTTTCCATGTTCTATCAGATATCAACAAAAAAAAGTACCATGGTATTTCCATAGATTTTTGGACATTGATTTATTTGGAAGTTTTTATTTGGAGCCTTTGTAAAACACAATCAGGCTACGTTATATACTGTGATTTATTCAACTAAGTCTGGATAAGTATTTGAGATTACTGATCATTTCTGCTGGGCAGTATCTTGTCCTTATATGCTCTTCAATAAAAACCCAACTGTCTGTCCTCTCCCCCGTTCATAACGAAAGGTCTGGATTTCACTTAGTATTGTTTTTTCAGACCATAGTACATTTTAAATACTTAATCACTTTATTACCATCCTATCAGTGGCATCTCCTCAAAATGGCCACTCTCACAGTAATAACAGTGCGGTGGAGCCACAGCTCCTCTCCATTCTGCTGTTATTCCAAGTGTCTGTTTCTGACCACTGGATTGAACTGAATAATCATTAGTGGTTGGAAATTCCTACCGTGGCAAAGAGCAGCTGACTCAGAAACAACTGACTCCTGGATGTTACATGGCCATTCCCACGCTGGACGTTTTTCTGCTTCTCGCAAATGCCCACAATTGCAATGGGTCAAACTGACCAAGCATTGTTGACCACAGAGTGATTTCTTCTCTTCTGGTCAGTCTCCGCCGCTCAGTCTGCACGAGAGTACCACGACGCATTTGTGTGCATTCCTCTGCTTGAAAACAAGCTCGTCGACTGACAAAGAAGAGAAGAAATCGTTGGATAAAGATGTTCTTTTTGTTTTCTTTGCTCTCAAAAGTATTATCATAGCTTCAAAACATTATGGTTGAACATCTGATGTCACATGGACTATTTTATTGATGTCTTTACTTCCTTTCTGGACCATAAAACATTTCAGTTGCGTTGCTGTCTATGGAGGGTCAGAAAGCTCTCGGATTTCATCAAAAATATCTTAATTTGTGTTCCGAAGATGAACGAAGGTCTTACGGGTTTGGAACGACATGAGGGCGAGTAATTAATGACAGAATTTTAATTTTTGGGT